GTGCGTGAGTATGTGTAACAAAGTGTTATACTATGGTACATATGCTACTATATATATGTTTTTTTTTGTTTCATTATTAGTTCGATTTTTAGGATACTGTCTGGCAACAAAACTTTTCTCTTTCGGTCTGCGATTTAACTAGGGGTTGGCCAGCTTGTATTTATTTTCTTCTCTTTATTAACTTATCACCTGCACATCCTCATCACTATCATCACTACCAAATGCTTTTGTTTTTCTTTTTTTTTTTAAGCCCGATCTACAGCCGGTTGATTTTTTCTAAATGCAAATAAATTTTTGGGTTTTAGGCAATCGAAGAATTTCCTTTTGTGTAAGTAGTGAAGTACTTTTTCTCTAAGTTTTTGTTCTGCAATCTTTAATACCCTGCTCTAAACGTTCACAATGCTATTAGAAGTCTTTTGACAAATTTATTTACAATAATTACTTTGCCGACTCAACAATTCACTGCCGCTTATTAATTGACGCTTGCTTGTGGCGTTTTAATAATGAAGCCGAAATAAAATGTGGATTAAAGTTGGGCGCACATGGGATGGTACTCCAGTTTTTTATTTTTATTATTAAAATTTAAAAAGTTTCTATTAGATTCCCTGAAGGAAACGCATTAAGCTTTAACGAGTTAAGCATTAAGACAGTTAACATAATAAAAACTAAGCAAAAAAGTCAAGCTAGGAATCTAATAAAAAACGAGAGTTCAGTCCACGAAATAATAATAAAACTAAAAAATAAAGTCAAGGGATAATCTGTAGATGTTATTTCGGCAAAATTGTTAAATCTCCAACAGAGACCAAAAACAGCCAATCAGTAGAAAAATTGACAAAGGCCAAGAGCGGCCTACATAAATGATAGATTTTCCTTAGACTTGGCCACAAAGTACAGCACTACTTTTTCCGTCAAATCAATGACGAAGAACAATACTATCGATAAGGTTAAACTTATCATGGCACATTCAACACTCTGGATGATGCTATGTCCAATTTTGTAGATGCAACTGGCCAATAAAATACTGTAATGTACTATGGACAACAAAATTATAGAGGCAATCTCGGGAATTATCACTGAAGACGAAATTTCCACCCCGGCAATAACAAAAACAATAATTACTACAGCAATAATTGGGGACGAGCCCTATATAGATAATATAGGGACCATTGTAACTCGAACAGAGGCCAAAATAACCAGGCCAGAGTTACTCAAAAGTAACTCGGAAAACATCAACAACTAAGTTTTAAAATATACACTATTTATCCTAGTCTTAATATGTTTGTAAATTTTAAAAATTCGAGTAGCAGCACAAACCTTACATTTTTGCTCGATACAGGAGCTGTCATTTCCTTAAATTAAGAAAATTTTGATGTGTTAAAAGAAATACAAAAAGAAAATATAGTCGACCTACAAGGACATGGTACAATCAAAAACAATGCTACAAAGAGATAAATATATAATACGTAATATATATTCTCGTTATGTTGGAGAGGTAAGAAGATTACCAAGATCCCAAGACCAAAATACAGCGAGCTTATGCTGGTAACCTGTTGTCTGAATATCGGATAGCTCTCCTTTGGCCCCAGTCCTTTTCCAGGACAAGGGCACTAATATGCCGACGTAAAATTTTCTTTGTGGGAAAGGGCCTATCCCGGCAGCGATTGGACCTACCCGTTTCACACAAATTTGTACTACACGTGCAGCCCGCTGGTAGATTTCTACCGCCACTGCAACATCGAGTATAAAACAGGAGCCGAACATAACTTTTGGCATAACTTCATAGTTTTCATAATAGTAATATAAGGTTGTCAAATATCTCCCATCCGCCTTTTTGTCTTTTGAATTTCGCGGCTATGTACAAAGCTACAGAGCTCGTATCTGGCAATACTATACATAATTTGAAAGGTCTTGACATAACCTACAAAACGCTATGCATGATTAGTTTGGATATTGCGTTCAACAGTTATAGACGTGTAAACATGGAGTTCACTAACGCCGAAATTCGCGCTATTTTAAAGTTTTCCTTCGTTAAAGGCAAATCCGCTAGAGAAACGTTCCGTGAGATTAATGATGTTTTGGGGGATGGTACTCTATCACTTCGAACCGCGGAGGAATGGTTTCGACGATTCAGAGCCGGTGAAAACGACACCATGGATTAGCCAGCCGGCGGAAGACCTGTGACGACAAATACCGATCAAATCATGGAATACATCGAGTTAGACCGGCATGTGGCATCTCGTGACATCGCCCAGGAGATGGGAGTTAGTCACCAAACCATTTTAAATCATCTGCAGAAGGCTGGATACAAAAAAAAGCTTGATGTTTGGGTGCCGCATGATTTGACGCAAACAAACCTTCTGGACCGAATCAACGCCTGCGATATGCTGCTGAAACGGAACGAACTCGACCCATTCTTGAAGCGGATGGATTACATACGACAATATCAAGCGATAACGGTCGTGGTAGAAGGCCGGTGAATCGTCCCAAACAGTGGCCAAGCCGGGATTGACGGCCAGGAAGGTTTTGCTGTGTGTTTGGTGGGATTGGAAGGGAATCATCCACTATGAGCTGCTCCCATATGGCCAGACGCTTAATTCTACCATCTACTGCGAACAACTGGACCGCTTGAAGGCGATCGACCAGAAGCGTCCAGAATTGGCCAACAGGAAGGGTGTAGTGTTCCACCAGGACTACGCCAGACCACACACTTCGATGATGACTCGTCAGAAGCTACGGGAGCTCGGATGGGTGGTTTTATCGCATCCACCATATAGCCCGGACATAGCGCCAAGTGATTACCACCTGTTCCTGTCCATGGCGAATGCCCTTGGTGGTGTAAAGTTGAACTCAGAAGAGGCTTGTGAAAAGTGGCTGTCCGAGTTCTTCGCAAATAAGGAGGGGGGCTTCTACGAGGGAGGTATTATGAAGTTGCCGTCTAGATGGAAACAGATTATCGAACAAAACGGCGCATATTTGAACTAAATCCGATCACTGTAACACTTTTTATAAAGCATTGAATAAAGACCAAAAAAAGCGGAGATATTTGACAACCTATTATATAAAGAACGGAACATTTCAAAAAATATGTTCGTCATCGTCTGACAGTTCATGTTTTTAAGTTCCCTGGGATCTTGTAGCCAGATCGACTGAGCTAGTGTTCCTATTGAAGAATAGGGTTGTAAATTACGTTTTTTTTTGTAAATTACACATTATTCCATGAAGTCAATATTCCCTACTAATCTGCTAGTAATTAATAATTATGAGTAAATTTAAAAGATAAATTTATTTATGTATTTCTAAATAAAATTTCCGACTAATATAGATTAGGTATAAGTATTTCAATGAATGTGGTTACAGTATATTTTGGGTCACCGCTATTTACATATACAGTGGGGAGCAAAAGTGATTCCACGAGCAAAGTTTTCATGTTTGGGAGCACATAAAAACTAAACAAACGAAGTAAATGATAGAACTTTTATATTTTTTTTTAATAGTAGTTCATTTTTAACAAAAATGCGTATGCAATTAAATAATTGAAGAAGCTATAGAATAGTAATAATTCAAAAACAAAAACAAGCGGCATGTACTCAGTAATGCACCATTTAAAAAAAACTTCAAAATAAATGAATTATTAATATTTTGTTCAGAGACCCTTATTTTCTAAGACATTTGTTAAACGTTTTGGCATACTTTCAACTAATTTTTCTAATATTTTTTTCGGAATGTTATTCCATTCTTGTTTTACACGCCCGCAAAGATCGTCCAAGCTGGATGGGGCTGACTTTTACTGTCGAGCTGTCGCTTTACGATTAACCATAGGTTTTCAATCACATTGAGGTCGCGACTTTGCGCTGGCCACTCCATCATCTAGAAATTTTTGTTTCCGAGCCATTCCTTAACAATTTTCGCAAATAACAAATTTTTTCCTGCTCTTGGTACGAACACTGGTCAAGAAAATTTTGAAGATGGGTTTGCAAAATGCTCAAATAGTCTTCCTTTAGCATAATCCCCCCGTGAAATACCCCCATGACATTATTTTGCCACCTCCATGTATCACGGTTTGCTTCACATGATGCCTTTAAAGCTTGTTACCAGGCAATTCATTCAATATTGCTTTCCATCCGATTGAAAACTATTAAATTTAGGTTCGTCCGACCAGATAACACGTTTCCAGTCTTCTATTGTCCAGTTCTTATGTTCCAATGCGAATTTTAGCCGAGCCCTAACATTTTCCTCGGAGAAAGTCTGGTTTGTTTTTTCCACTGCTGCAATGCACCCAATCCATGGATTCACGCCTTTATTTATTTCTGTAGAAACATCTTTTGGCGTTCAAAGTTTGTTTTTTCTCACTTTAGACATCATAAGTCGAGCGTCATAGTCTGTTAGAGGGCGACGGCGACCATTCATCTTCTTTTCATCACAAACATTTTGTCTTTTCTGGACCTTAACAACCACTGATTGACTAAATTGCAGCTTCTCAGCAATAGTAAGGGTCAAACACCCACTTTTAGTCAGGGAAATAATACTATTTTCATTATCAGAAGACAGATTCTTAATTTTTCAGTGAAAAGTTAGAGACTAAGTTCCAAATTCAACAAATCAACTATAAACTTGTCGTTGATAGTGATTTTTTACATTCTGACAACGTATTATAAATGCAAAAGCCACTTAATAGTAAGTCTGCAGTTATATTAGATAATAGATAAATTAGATTAGATAAATTAGATATTAGATATTAGATGAGAAGATAAAAAATATGAGCTAATAACGGATGGTGCAAAACTGAGTACAAGCCGCTTGTGTTGCTTTTTAAATAGTAACTATTCCATTTCTTATTTTTCTATTTTGCTATATACACCTAATTGTAAAAAAAAGAGCTAGGTAAAAAAAAATTTGTCATTTATATTATTCGTATAATATGTGAGCTCAAACATGAAAACGTTGATCATGAAATCACTTTTGCTAAATATAAAATTATAAAATATTTATCTCTTAGGTACCTGGTATTTTGATAAATCTTTTATAAACAAGTCTTTGCTGCTGCTCATGTAATCAAACATTACATCTTGCTGTACATCTCGATTTTTTTCCACAAATCCGCCCACAGAGTAGATCACAAGACCAGCGTAATGTTTTATTCCAAACTCGGTTTCCCAATGACGACGATCAGATCCTTTAATATAATTTGGGTGGGACTCGAACTCCGTGTGCATATTACATAAAAAAGCTGAATCGGAGCCCTTTGGCATATGACACTGTTCTGTCAGTAACTTGAACACACATCGAGGAGGTTTCTCTATTATTTCCAGGCAAGGAGTGTTATCTGTAAACTCCACATGATTAAAGTATATTCCTTCTTGTTTATACTAGAATATAAAATTAATTATAATTTATTAGTTTATATAGTTTTTTGCGAAATAGAATTGTTATTATATATAATTTAAGTATTCTTAATATAATAATATAATACTTTAGATTCCAAATTAATTATTGTTATTATATATAATATAAAAAAAAACGATTAAAGTATTCAAAATTTAACAAACCATGTGTTAAAATAGTGAAAAAATTATTTTTTTTAAATAAAAGGTTGGGCTCGCAAAAGTAAAGAATTTTGTTCCTATTTATATTTAAGGCTCGCTTTGACACGTAGATTTGCAACTACTGGACATAAATTCCATTGTGAATACAATTAATATCATTAATATCAACATTATAACTACGGAAGGACAGACGAATGGACATACGGACATGAACAGATCGACCAGGCTAGAGATACTCATCAAAGAATATATGCGCTATGTAAGCGCCTCCAACCACTTGTTCGTCTGCCAGTATGAACGCTTTGATTTCAGAAAAGTTTTGCGTGCACATTTTTGTGACCCCATACAGTTTAAGTTCGCATCAGAACGTTTTCACGTCAACTGTTAGGCCAAATAATGATGCCCACATTAAACAATTTATTTTTTTTTGTTTTATCATTAATAGTTTTTATTCTTTAATAAAATCACCAGGAGTATAACATTTCACTAACACACGCCAAAAAAATTGGAACCCGACTGTAGCTTCCCTTGTAGTTTTAAATGAAAATATCTTATAAGCTTTGCAATTACACAGAAAAATTGAGAACGAAACAGACCGAGATCGGAGCTAGAAAAAGCCCTTCCCCACCTGAAACGTAAATAATATAAAATGGAAAATATCCATACAGTACCAAACCCGAGGATTTCCCTAGGGAAACCATATTATTTTTATCGCATACCAGTGCGTGTGCCAGGGCTTCTACGCTGATTTATGATGGTTACGGTATGTCCTGTTACTAAAAATTTCATTTGTAATCGATTCACCACGTTCAGTGCTAAATGTCAATACAAAATCTACTTTTTGTCCTACCTGGGTACATTTTCTTCAACCATGGATAGACGTATGTATGTCTAGGAATGCCAGTAATAAATGCTCGAACAGGAGCATTACGAACGATAGCTTTAATTTCGATACCAACTTTTTTTATTAGAAATGTTTAAACCATTTTTTATAATTTCGGACATTTCGGACCTAAATTTCGATAAAAACGCGTTGCAATTAAAAAGCTGATTATGACCTATAAATGATTATGACCTATATGACCTATAATGGCATACGGAAACACGGGCGGACATGGATATTATTTATTCTAAATATAATATGGCCTAGGCCTGTGCCCTAGAAATCTTAAAAATTGGAAGTCTTTGTTTAAATCGATGCTCAGTTTATTTCCCTGTTTTGTCAAGCCAATATGTAAATAGGGCCTGCCAGCTACTCTACTAATATCGGATTTTTCAGAACAATTAAATTTACAACAGGGCTTAATATTCAACTTATGAGTATTTAAAATCTCAATAAGACCTATGGCACTTCCTCGTATTGGCCTTTTTTTTAAATACCAATTTTTTAACTGTGTATTTTAATCACAGCTATTACGGGCATGTGCATATAAGCTACCTAAGCCAAATGTACTAACTCCTATCTCAGCTTCCCCATAGGTGGCTCCAAAGATTCCCTATTCCACGTTGTGCTGGGCCCTGCTACTTTGCGTATATTAATGAATGTATATTCATTTTTTTTTTTAATTGCGAAGGAAAAATATTATTTTATTAATTATTATAAGCTTTATCATAAAAAAATTAGAAACAACATTAATTTTACCACCAAGAAGTGCATAACCAAAAGCGACACTTATAAAAAATAAAATTTCGCCAAATAATAATAATGGCTTAAAAATATCGCGTTGCTAGATTTTGACGAAATTGCTAGATTTTTCTAAGTGCGATATTTTTAAACCAATATTTTTAGGCAAACAAATAATTTTATTGGTCGCTTTTTTTGAGCATTTATTTTTACTCGGTTTTTTTTATATATTTTGTTATTTATTTTGGGGAGAATCTCGCAGATCCAGAAGTAAAATAAAAAATGATGCATTGATTAAAACTTTAAATGTAATTCATTTATTGCGACTCCGCGCGGCGATGTGCTTGTGTTCGCTTTCTTCTTTTTCGACTCCAAGAACACTCAGCATAACAGTCTTTTTCTGTCTCTCAGTTTTGATGTGTTTTATTCTAATAAGTTTTGACAAATTCTTTTTTAACATATTGGTACATACTTTAATTGAACATAATTCAAATTATAGCTAATATCATTAGGCTTTGACCGTGCAAACGCTGTTGGCCTGCAGCATATCCTTGATGTACAACTTTTTAGGTATAACGATGAACGTTATACTTTCCATCTCCCCTTCACGTTCTATCTTCATACCTAAAAACGTGATCAACTGACCTTTGTCACGCACTCAAAGCTCGAAGCTATCTTAGACTTGACCTGCATAAGCTCCACTCTGCTCTCTCAAGCTATAAGAAGATCGTCAACACAAATTAGCACAGGACACAAGTTATCGTGTAAGTCCTGTTTGTATAAACATGCTTAGTATTGGCAGGGCACGAATCCGATCTCTGGAAGTGCTTCATCCAAAGTGGTGTTCCACTCTTGGCCTGCTTCTCCATAGGTAACACCGAATTTCTGCGAGAAACCCTTCTGTACCAAGCGAGCTTTACACCGCTCGGGGTTGCCTTCGCCGTCCCTTTTAATGGTAAAAACCCATCGTCCCCCTAGGGCCTTTTCTTCTTTTGGCAAATCGCATATCGTCCATGTATGCTGGCTTGTAGCGCTTCTTCACAGGTTTGAGGGAGTGGGATTTCAGCTTTGACCATGGCATTGACACGCTAAATTCCTTCCGCATAGTTCCTCGGCCAGCAATAAACTATCGATTAAAGTGGGCTGCCGTCTGGATATGGGCAATAACATAAAACAAAGGGTATGCGTTTCGTTTTACGGGCTGCTGGATGGCCATTCGAGTTCCAAAAAGGTTCACGCCTACACTGAAGTTTTTGTGTTCCTGCAACTGTATGCGAAAGTGTAAAATTTCCAACCTGATCATATTTCCCATAGGCTGCCAAAAGCTGATGGTCCTGCCACTGCAGGTACTCGTCTGAACCCGTCTTGAGAGCCGCCCTAAGGCCTTTTCAGCGACAAGAATCCGATAACGGCGAGCGCAAAGGTTGATAAACGCGTACCTACAACTCAGATGGGAAAATCGAGGACAGGCCCAGCCTTTTTGACCCAAAGCTCTGGCCTTTCGGTCTCTGGTCTTTCGTATTGCCATTCTTCCTTTTTGGTCCCTGGACGACCCTGCAACGGCCCCCAATCCCCATCCTGGTGTGCTCCATCCTGGTGTGCCGCCGTCTACCTGAATGGCAGTTTGTAACTTTTGTGTGGCTCGGGGATTAAATGTCCCAACTCGTTATGCTTACCACAGCAGCAGCAGCAGTTGCAGATAAGCAACAAGCAAGGTCACTCGCAAAAAAAAAAAAATTATTTAAAAGTTTAATTACTGAATTTTTTATATTTTCAGTTTGTTTATATAAACTGAAATAAAGTTCAAGTCTATTTAGTTTTTCTTATTTATATTAAAAAAACAAGATAGATATAGTCGAGAACCCCGACTATCAGATACCCGTTACTCAGCTAGTGGAAGTGCAAACGAGAAATTTCAAAATTTTCTAAAATATCGGCAAATAGTGGAAAAAAAGAATAATAAAATGAAAAAAAATAAATAAAAAAAATTAAAAGTGTGGACGTAACAGTTTTGGGCGCTTTGTGGGCTTTGGAGTGGGCGTGGCAACTACTTTTTTGGCAAATCTATAGAAATTTACAAGATACATATATAAAAAAGTGACAAAATATCACAACAGTTTTGGGCGGCTTGTGGGCGTTGGAGAAGGCATGGCAAAAATCTGTTTGGCAAATTTATAGAAATTTACAAGATATATTCAAAAATGAAAATATATCACAACATTTTTCAAAATTGTGGGCGTGAAAGTTTTGGGAGCTTTGTGGGTGCAAAAGTGGGCGTGGCAAAATGTTTTCTGCAAAATGTGTATAAATGTACAAAATTTATAAAAAATTAAAAATTAAAGCATTTTTCAAAAGTGTGGCCGTGACAGTTTTTGTGCGGTTTATGGGCGTTAGAGTGGGCGTGGCAACATATGGAAACAAACTTGCGCTGAAAAATGTTGTGATAGAGAGAGGCCTTTAAGGAGGAGTGCATTTCGAGGTCTCAGTGTGGAAGGTGGCACAAGCCCAACTATTCCATGTACCGCAAATGTTGACAAGTTTAGGATGTCAGCGATTGCCCGGATGCTTAACCGACGGTCTGAACTCAAAGTTTCTCGCACACGCCGAACGTTTTCATCAATTCGTGCTGTTGTTGGACGTCCGGAACGTGGATCGTCGGTGACCTCCTCTCGACCCTCCTTGAAGGCCTTGTGCCACCTTCCACACTGAGATCTCGAAATGCACTCCTCCTTAAAGGCCTCTCTCTATCACAACATTTTTCAGCGCAAGTTTGTTTCCATATGTTGCCACGCCCACTCTAACGCCCATAAACCGCACAAAAACTGTCACGGCCACACTTTTGAAAAATGCTTTAATTTTTAATTTTTTTATAAATTTTGTACATTTATACACATTTTGCAGAAAACATTTTGCCACGCCCACTTTTGCACCCACAAAGCTCCCAAAACTTTCACGCCCACAATTTTGAAAAATGTTGTGATATATTTTCATTTTTGAATATATCCTGTAAATTTCTATAAATTTGCCAAACAGATTTTGGCCATGCCTTCTCCAACGCCCACAAGCCGCCCAAAACTGTTGTGATATTTTGTCACTTTTTTATATATGTATCTTGTAAATTTCTATAGATTTGCCAAAAAAGTAGTTGCCACGCCCACTCCAAAGCCCACAAAGCGCCCAAAACTGTTACGTCCACACT